CTTTGATATGCTGAATGAAAGTATTGAAACACATGTTAAAAAGTAAGGGACTAAGGCAATCACCTTGAAGAACGCCACGGCCAACGGTAATGAAAGGAGTTTGGTAATCTGAAGTGATGATAGATGTCTTGAAATCAGAGTAAAGACTTTGGATGAGCGTTTTGATATCATCAGGAATGTGATGATATCCAAGGACTGATTGTATTAGATTATGATGAACTTCACCAAAAGCATTTTTCAAGTCTAGCAGTGTAATTACGATGGAGCGTTGTTTGATGCGAGCTTTGTTAATTATGTTAGACATTTGGGCAGTATGTTCCAGAGTACCTGACAAACCAGGGGTAAAGCCTTTTTGGATGTTATGTTCTATTAGGTTATTCGCAGACAGGAAAGAAAATATTGCGTTACGAAGACATGATGTAAACACTTTTAAGGGGATTGATTCAAGAGTTATTGGACGGAAGTTAGAAGGAATACTCGTGTCACCCTTTTTATGGATCAGGATTGTGCAAGCTTTCTTCCATGATGAGGGAACTTCACCAGAGGTCCAAATATGGCGTATGATTTCAGTTAGGTAGGATCTTAAATACGGACATCTTTTAAAGCATATAATAGAGATCTGATCAAGTGGACAAGGACTACCAGAAGATTTCATTTTTCGGATTACATTAGTAATTTGATCATATGTTGGAGGGTCAACATTAAAGGGTGACTCTGGTGGCTTTAGACACGGAATCCAACTTGGAATACAAAAAAGCTTGTTGGGATTAACTGATCTCAGAGTTTTTCGAAAATAGGAAGCACATTCCACCATGCCAAATGAAGGAAGAACAGTTTGTTTTTTGATGAATACATGTTTAACATAACCCCAAAAGTTTTTACTGATGAATTTATCGTGATTGATGTTGTCGTCATCACCGGTAGACTTGTGGGCATCGCGTTTACTCAACCTGTCACGTAGTGTACGAGAGACATATTTAATTTCACCAAGGTCACCACCAGAAGATTTCAAATTACGAAGAGTTTTCTTCAAGGCTTTAACTGAATGATCCTTGTATTTTTCAATTAAGTTCTTATCGGCATTTGGTCCATCAACATAACCATAATTCTCGGCAAAGTAATTATAAACTACATCGTTAAGTTGCTGTATGTTCAAATTTATATCCTTAGCGCTGATTGGCAGATTTGAATATAACACGGATTTGAAATATGCATTAGCCGTTAGCCAGTCGTCATCATTTTTYGGAAGTTTTATCCCTTTTTTAATATCAGGATTACTATTTTCAACAGTTAAATCATCAATAAAACTAACATGATCTGTACCATTTGTCGAATCAATAAAATCATCATTGAGTTGTTCTTCGATGTCAGCACGTAAATCGTCGTTGAGACCATGGATAACGCGACAGCTCCGCTGATGCGATTTAAGGCCACGAATCCCCTTGCAATTTTTTCCACAACAACACTTGATGATACCATTATTAGAGAAGTTATTYGAGGAATCAATTATGATTGGTTGAGGCAGTTTAGCTTCACCATTTGGAACTTGTAGACGCTGTTTACATCGCCATACATGTCTGCCCAGTGAGATGAAGTCCACACCACAAAATGAACAAACGGTACACAGCATAAATAAAAGTAAAATACTTGGACGAATCATGATCAATAGTTTTGAAACATGAATAGTATTGATATATGTTGAAATAATTTCGATTCAAGTAAGTAAATAGCAATAAAACAAACTACACGTATAGAGCACGCTCGCGCGCCTCTACTCTGTGTAATAATAATAATAATAATAATAATAATTTTATTTTTATACAGCGCTTATACAAATCTGCTCTAAGCGCTTTCAAATTACAAACAATTACAATGACAGAGTCATGGTAGACTGCGAGCTTAAGATGGCGCCTCATGGCTGCCGCTCTTAGTCCGTCCCAAGATATCAAACTTAAAAATTACAACAATAAAAATTAAAATATAAATGACACTACAGCACAGAAAATTCCATAAAGAAATTTAGATCTAAAAAAAAACAACATTGCCTGGTTATAATATACTGTTTTAACAATTATTTAAGTATAAAAAGTTAAATAGTTATTAATAAAAATCATTTTCATTCCCAACAGGAATCACCCCTAAAAGTTGCTACCACTGCTGTAAAAGCCACTCAAGCCATAAATGTAATGCACCTTCTGGCATATAACATTGCAGTTATTACAGACGTCAGGAGTCTTTTCAAGGTGGATGAAATGTTAAGRTCTAGTGGTGCCATTGAAACACAGCATGGTTTTATTATACACAATAGATCAACAGCAACTGATGGTAAGTCAATCTTAATGTTTAAATTGAATGTTGTTATGAAAGGGTTTTGGCGATGTATGGTTGTAAAGAAAGAAAGTCCATTTAGTCATCTCAGTTTTGCGCATAAATGGAGAACAATGACAACTCAGCTTTTTGTAATGTTTTGAACTTATACCTTTTCTACTTATTTTGCAGTTACTCATATGGAACAAGTCGTTGTTGGCTTTATAATTGGCCATTGGGGTGCAAGTGGGTCAATACAGCCTATGTATGACCAAACAACAACTATTAATGCAATCATAGTAAATGATTCTCAGGAAAACCCACTAGGTTTACAGCCAGTAGTTGTTTATGAAAAAATTATAAAGGCATTTTCAAAACATGGGGACATTGTCCTGGACTTAAATAGTCCAAATGGTATGTTTGATTGTGTACATATATACAGTTTATAACATGATTCATATAAATGCAATTACTTTCAATTTCTCTAAGACAATATAAATGAAAAAAGGCAAGCTTAATTACTAACACATCTATCATCAATTTAGATAAATGTTAGATATTAAAATGTTTGAATGATTCACTTATTGCTTATCAGTTTTCTCCTTAATTTAGTGATGACAACCTTTTTGAAATAGGTGTATAAATGTATTTGGTCAATAATCATCAGACATAATTTTTAGTTTGTTATGTTTGCTTTACTTTACAGGTCATGGAGTTGTGGGTGCCTTAAACTCAAAGAGGCGAGCTGTCTGGTTGAGGCATGGTGTTGATAAAGGAGAACAATATAAATATATTGGACATATTATGGACCAAATGAAATGATTAGTTTTGAAAGTTGAACAAAGTCATTTCAGCTGCTATATCTCATTTGTTCTCCAGAATATTCTCTTTTGTTGCATATAAATTGTTCTGGTTCGGTGATAGTGTCTATAAGTCACTAAAGCCTGGTTTTCACTAGCGATGGAGCGCAATCGCAGAAGCAAGAGCAAGCACAAGGTTTTATTTCATAGTGAAAACAGGACGTGGATAAGCGCAACAACCTAGTACAAGTGCAAAAAAAAAGATGGATACCTTGCGCTTAGGCTTGCGTCGCTAGTGTAAACTAGGCAAGAGTCAAGTGACTCTGCCCTATCTTTGTTTGTGCTCTTTCCAATCAATGGTTTTAATAGAAATCAAAATTGCCTGTTAATTGATTAATTAGTTTTCATTGTAATTGTACATAGCAGCGTTACAATGTGTTAAATAAGAGTTGAAGTACATGTAGCTAACACCATGAATAAATTAGAGACCCAAGTTACCATGTAATTTGATGTAATTGATCTAGTCTAATTCGAGTAATAATCTTTTCCCGTTTTTTTCTATACTAAGTGTGTATTGTTGGTGTTTTTTTTTACTGATATGTAAATATGTTTTTTTAAGTAGTTTCACGGCCAGCAAATAGTTAAGTAAAGAACTTCTGAGTCGTTCGATCATTCAGAATTTCTGAGTCGTTCGATCATTCAGAATTTCTGAGTCGTTCGATCATTCAGAATTTCTGAGTCGTTCGATCATTCAGAATTTCTGAGTCGTTCGATCATTCAGAATTTCTGAGTCGTTCGATCATTCAGAATTTCTGAGTCGTTCGATCATTCAGAATTTCTGAGTCGTTCGATCATTCAGAATTTCTGAGTCGTTCGATCATTCAGAATTTCTGAGTCGTTCGATCATTCAGAATTTCTGAGTCGTTCGATCATTCAGAATTTCTGAGTCGTTCGATCATTCAGAATTTCTGAGTCGTTCGATCATTCAGAATTTCTGAGTCGTTCGATCATTCAGAATTTCTGAGTCGTTCGATCATTCAGAATTTCTGAGTCGTTCGATCATTCAGAATTTCTGAGTCGTTCGATCATTCAGAATTTCTGAGTCGTTCGATCATTCAGAATTTCTGAGTCGTTCGATCATTCAGAATTTCTGAGTCGTTCGATCATTCAGAATTTCTGAGTCGTTCGATCATTCAGAATTTCTGAGTCGTTCG